AGGGTGAATATCAAGTAAATGTTAAGTGCAAATATAATTCTTCTGTAGGCTAAATAGAGTACAAGCTGTAGGATCTTTTATTGGTTCATCCATGTCTTTTCATTCCAACACTGACCTGCTTTAGGCCCAATACTAATGGCTAATTATCTCTAAAAAGCTTGTTTTTTTCAGTACCTAAATGATCCCAGTCCTTTCTTGAAAGAAGCCAAGGTATCGCCCTCAACAACATGGCTGCTGAGTTTGTTCCACACTCCTACCACCTTCTGTGTAAGGAAGTGCAGGTTTCCTTCCCTTAGTTTCCACTGTGACCTCTGGCTTGTATTTCACTGTTGACTCTGTCAGGGCCTTCGAGGAGTTTGAAGACACCCATCATAGTCATATCTAGTCAAGACTAAAGAGACCAGATTTCTGCTCATCAGTGTAGAACATTCCATGTGCTTCCTTTGTTAAAAGGGTCCTTTTCTGGTTTCAGATGTGTATTCTCTCTGTGTTTAAGCAGTATCCATTACTACACTTACTGCTACTGGTCTTTTATACAGTACATAAAAGTTCAATTTGGGAAAGAGATGCAAACGACAAAAATACATATAATACATTTACTACACAAGTTTACAACATTTGAATGGATAGAATAGAAGTATTTTAATGTATTTATAGCACTTATAGTTTATAGACATGAGTTGAATTGCTGGTTTCTCTCAGGATAAGAAAACATACTTACTTTAATGTCTTGAAACGTATCAGCAATTAAAAGTATGGAGCTGACCTTTCACAATTTATTTCTCTACAGAGGCGTGATGTTGCTTCATGTATCAGGTATCCTGCCAAGTTTCTAAGTGTATGTATTGTGAATAAAATCTGCTTTTGAGTTCCTGCTGAAACTTAACAGCCCACAGGTGCAGAAAATAATCACTTCCCAGGAATCTCCAGCTCAGCAATTAAAATTTCTCATTGTGGTTCTTATTGGCTTCTATCCAGTGATATTTTTTACCCCTGTAGCAAAGAATAATAGAACAGGCATAATCACTCTAAAACCTCATTTTTTTTTCTAATCCATGTAACATATTTTCTTACATTTTTGGCAAAACTACGTTTTTTAAAATAACACAGTATTTCAAAATAATGCAGGAGTTCTGTATTTGGCACTCAGATGTGGTTTGGAGTTTCCATTCCTCTGATCTCTGTCCTTCCTCTCACTGGACTTCTCAGCTTTCCCTGTGGAGCTGCTGGACTGGGGAAGCGTATCCCATGGAATTTGCTGGGATGGACCAACAAGAATTTCTTGCACCCTGTGCACAAGAGCCCAGAGGATTCCCATTCCAGCCACCCACCCTGAAGGTAAAGCTTCCCGGAGGGTCTGTGTCAGATCTTTTCTTAGAAGAAAGATACATTTCTGCTTACAAGAACTGCTGGTCGCCACTGCAAAAGGACTGAGGAGGGGTAGCCCTCTGCTAACAAGACGGAAACGAGTCAGTCGCCGATGAAACCATCAGCTCTGAACGGCACTATCCGTGTCTTCCTCAAAGACATGCAGGCTTCACCAGCGTGGATGTGCTTGGACAGGCGAGATCATCCAAACTCCCCGCTGTTACGGGAGAAGGACAGGGACAACCTTACCTGGGCACATGTGAGATAAGTACAGTAAAGACTGAGAAGATTTAACCAGAGAATATAAAGCAATAAGTAATAAAAAGTTAGGTCAAAGACTTTTTTCCATTTTCACAGACCCCTTTTTCTCAATTTCTTGAAATGTGTGTCTACATGTGTATTTGATATGGAGTGATTTCTGAAGTGAAGCCCAGCATGTCAGATTCCACAGAAAGATGAGCTCCGATGTGGCAGATGAAAATAATTTTTCCTACAGAGTGTTCAGTGGCTTTTAAATGCATTAAACTGATCACTTTTTTTTTATAAAGCGTTTTATAAAGCAACAGCTGAAAGAAAGGTTCCCGGATCGAAGGATTGGGTTTATGAATTTGTTAAGACAAGAGTCCATGTCATTCAGAATGATTAATGGGGTCTTACTGTCGCTCCTTCTCTGTCTCGTTTCTTGTTTCCAGTTCTTTGCTGTCCTTCTGCTCTCTCTCTCTCTCTGGGGCTATGTATTTCCGGGTCTTTCAGTCTGCCTTGGCTCAGCATTGAGGTTCGGATGTCCTGAGACCCGCCTAGCACCAGGTCGCTCCACGAGGGCACAGGTTTCCATACGGCATTCCCTGAACAGCTGAGCCCGGGCTAACCCCCGTCTCGCCGCTACGCATAGGGTCTTTTCACTCTCCTGCCATTCCACAGTTCGTCCTTCCCGACATCCCTGACACTTACTGCTGGCAGGCTATTCTTGAGACTTTCCCGTTAAAGAAGAAGAGATGCGAGGGCATTTATACAATCAGTTTCCGTTCAGCGAGTATTCCCGAGTCCTCTCTATTTTGAAATAGAGCATTTGAACGTCTGAACATTTAGTTACCAGAACCCAAACATGCTTGACTGGCTGAAGGGCCTTCTAACATCTTCATCCACTTCAGAGGCACAGCCAGAGCCTAACCAGGCAAGCAGTGGGCTCAGGGCAGGATCAGTCAATCGCAGGGCAGACAGACACCCACTGCAGGGCAAGATTTCACAGAAATCTTTGGAAGAAAGACACGTGGACACGGAGAGAACATATAAACTCCACACAGATAGTACTCCGGGTCTGGAATTGAACCTGGAATTGAATGTAACCCAGTGCTGTTACATTTTACGTTATTGGGAACACAGTAAAGGTCAAACACAATTATATTTATGCCTGGAGCTTACAGTAAGATAGTCAGCATTGATTTGAAAAAGACATTTTTCAGTAAACCACTATATCCATTGAAATTGGTAGATAAGATCCGTGGATCAATGAACCACTAGTAACCAAAAGAGTCAGATGAGGGCAAATAGCCGCCTCTTGTTTGTAATTTATCTTCTTATGAAATGGACTTCGTGAAAGCAGATGGATGAAAATGAAAAACCTGCCCCTGATCAGTGTGTGTTACACTGTTTCAGACATATCTTCTTTTAAAACAATTACCCTTTTGGTAGCATCAACGTGATCTCCTTTTCACAGCAATACATTTGGTGTATTTATTACCAGAGCTTTAGAATGCCAGGGACAGCACTGTAACCCTCCGCCAGACACTTACTCATCGTCACCGGACATAAACCATACAGCATGTCCAAGTACACGTCTACATTTATATACTTAGACTAAAGGAGTAAGCACTACAGTCTATAGGTGGGGAGCTGCGTCAGCATGCGTAGGCTGCACAGGAACAAGTAATAGGTTTATTCCCAGCTGGAAAGAGAAGAGAGAAAACACGTTTCGGCTGTGGAGTCTTCTTCGGGCGTAAGCACCCAGAGTTACAAGTGAAGAAGGCTCCACAGCCGAAATGTTGTTTTCTGTCTTCTATTTTCAGCAGGAAATAAACATATTACTTGTTCCAGTACAGTATACAGGCACGTTCAGAATTGCAAGACCAGAGCTAGTTGCTATTCTCGCCGTGGCCTCTTGGTGTCACTATAGTCTCACAGACACAATTCACATCATGCCATGTAATGTGACCATGTGAAACCCATGCTTGTTCTCAGGTGCATTCTTCATACTTCTGGCTGTTTCGCACTTTTTACTCAAACTTAAATCTCAAAGGTTATCAGCAGGAAGTACCCAGGGGAGTATAATTAGCAATGGACCTTCATTTCCATTAATAGTCCTTATTTAGGTGCACATACAATATGCTGGCTTTTCCTGTGCTTTTTCTTATAATTACACAGAAGACAATATGAATATACAAGAGTAACTTCAATTCAAATGCATCTGATACATGTCCATATGGGTGCTGTGTGGCCTGGTAGGTACGTCAGTGGCCTCAGGACCGGAGGACTGGGAGTTCAAGTCCCTGCTGCTGTTCCTTGAGTGAAGTGCTTTACCCCAGTACTCACAAGTCCTCCCAGCTCTTAGCACCATGGAAACCAGCATGAGCTCTGGTCCAGTGAGTTGAATGGAATTGAAGAATTCAGGAATGGGATTTCCAGGAATCGGTATGCGCTTCTTCTTGCTGCCTTTCTCAATGACATGGTCTGGTCAGGCTGATGTAGTCCGTGATGTCTCAAGAGTAATGTTTCAAGGGATGCAACCCCCTTCCTTTGAGCCTGGAGAACACAGAACTCCCCGGCAGCACCAGCCCTGGTCTCTGCTGTCCGGGGGCGTGAGGCCACAGCTCTGTCACAAGAGCTGGACTGACCTGCTAACAGGTACTCTCTCTTACTCTAGTAGGACCGCATGTAACTCAGGCTCATGTAATGTTCCTTAATGCAAAGGCACCTGGAAGTGTAGATTAATAAAAGACTGAACTGGCGTGTCAATGATCATGCGCCTAAATGCCTGTGATTTACCTCCGGACCTGTGATAAAATTATTTATAGCAATACCCTGTTCACAGGTGAGCCAGACTCTAAGGATTTTACTGCGCGTATCCCTTTCTATTCAATAAAAGCAATCAACGAACACTGATCAAAGAAAAGACCAGAAGTAATGTTATTAACGTAACATAAAAACACATTTTATTCCTTTCATTCAGTTTTACATTAGCTTGAAAATTCATTGAATTAAAAAAAGGGTTGTGTGAGGAAGAGGGACACTGACACCATAAATGTATTGCTTGTGTTTTTTTAAATATAAATTAGAATAATAACAATTCACATCATAGCCATATTTACAGTTAAAGGATTATTACAAAGAATCCGATGGTCAGTCCACGGCCAAGCCATTTCACACAGACCAGCTCGGTACTGCACAGTTAACATACTTCCCAATCTGTGGGTGCAGACACCACAGTTTCACCAAACTGGTTCTTATACAAAAAAGCCCTGTAATTGTGTCATAGGTACTTTTCAGAACACAAGTTTCTACTTCCATCAGATTTAAAGAACAAAATCTGACATCACTGTCATCCAGAAACTCACAAATAAATAACTCCAATAATATCTCCATTAATAAATAGTTTTAATGCCCAGTCTTTCACTATTCACAACATATTACAGGAAATCTACACTGTAGTTGCGTGAACAAAGCGCTTTTATAAATTAAAGATTTCAGGATGTTATTATGAAAGTCCATTAAATACTTTACTGCTAAACAGATGAAACATTAGTGCTTTTATGGCTCCGGCATATTGAAATATTGTAAAAGAAATGTATCAGAGGACAAGAAAAAATTCACAATAAAACATTTTGATTCAGAGAAGGATTAATATCGTGAGGGTACACCTTCTATCCATGTTCCAGTTGAAATTGAAGTGTGGAATAATACCCATTGCACTTATATACATGTTTTTGTTTCTTGTAAGTGTTAAAACAGTCTCTAGAGTAGCCAGAGTCAGTTCTGAAGAGGTATTGCTAGACAATCTATCAGCAACAGCTAACCTGTTCATTAGTTTCTGACAACACTAGATAATACAATAAAGCAGCTTAAATAAATTCCACTTTAATAAAGCTGACTTCAACAGGCAATGAATACTGTAAAATGTTTTACAGTAAATCAAATAAATAAGGTTCTGATATTGTTTTCATCCTGATCAATGTTAATAATAGAGAGATCTATCGTCTCATAAACATCCCAAAATAGTCAATAATAAAATAATCCCAAAACAGGCTGGTGTCTCAGTGCAGCTGTCCGATTGTCCACGTGCAGTTCTGTACTCTGGAAGGATGAAGATGGCAGCTGGGTCTGCAGAGAGGGAGAGCACCACGTGCCCGAGGGCAATGGGATGCACGAGGAGGTCTAACACCTCAGTCACAGCTCCATTCTGTCACATTTCAGCACTGGAATCTGCGAATCACTTTCCACTCCCCTGCTGTTTGCTCGTCTCATGTCTAGGCACGGACGAACTATTCTGCCATCACAGGGAAGGAAACTAAAATTAGACAAGGTATCATTTTAGGAACTGGAGCAACTTCTAGTGCTCTGACAGCCCCAGATATTTGTCAGGAAGATTTTGACCAGGGTACAGCATAGCAAAAAAGGTTTGTATATCCAATGCGCATTTCCTGAGAAAGAAGGGGAGGCAGGATGTTCCCACGTTCCTCAATTTTATATTAAAAGTGAAAGCAGTAAAGACTGATTAATGTCTCATTTCCTGTAGCGCTCAGCTGCAAGCAAAATCTTTAAACAGTAGACAAAACACATGAAGAAGGAGCGAGAGTCAAGTGTTTTTTAAAAAAAGACATAAACTGCATATTTTCTAACAAAGTTTTCCTTCTGCCGTTGCTAGTGGCATCATTATAACAGTTCACAACACTTCAGATGATGCCTTGGCCCCCTCGTGAGTGACCAGCATCACAGCGTAGTATAAACGCCAGGAAACCCATCACAAAGGCGGCAGTCTGAGACCTGGCCATGCACGAACATGCACGACAGTGCGCGGCGTGGAGACGGGCCTGGTCTGGACTCTACTCCTGACACCCCCTGTGTTCAGGGCGATCCACATACAGACCCGCACGAAGAGAGACCGGCAATTTTCTGTCTTTACGTACTGCAACGTAGAAAAGCAAAACAAACTAATGTTTAATACTGGCATCTTAGAAAAAATCTTTTCACATTGTTACATATTAGAAGAACTAACAACTGTGAATTTAACACAACCAAACTGTACAGAAATTTGCCACCATGATCCCTCCTTGATTCAGCAGCTAAGCGTATAAACCATGTGCATGTCAGATGTGCCCATTAACTGTTGTCTTGAGTAACAGTGCTCCGTTTCTTCAGAAACTCGTGTCAAAGTTCAGCTTTATACAATTGCAAATAACTGTATATTACAGTAAAACCTCGGTAAATGCGCATATTCGCATTACCTCCCTCTGTGGTGAAATTTCAAGAGTTTTAAACCATAATGTTATTCACATAACTCGATGTGAAACCTTCCCGGAGAAGGGCACGGTGAACTGCGAGTCTGGGTTAAAAGCCTGTTCTCCGTGCTTGCTCACGGCGAGCTGATGTCCGGCTCCAACCCTCGCCCCGGTGATCCGGCCGGTGTCCTCCGGCGATTTCCGGTGAGGAGACAAGCTCGGGGCTGTCCTGCGCGTCTCCGAGGAGCCCGGCGCTCCTGCCCCGGTCCCGTCGCGCAGGCTGGAGACGCAGGCGGGCGGGGCCCCCCAGGTGCGGCCCCCCAGGTGCTGGCTACGCGCGGGGCTCCAGCCGGTGGGAGAGCTCGAAGAGCGCCTGCTGATTGTCGATGATGTGCAGGTGGTGGACGTAGCTCCTCACTTCCTGGCTGTCCTTCTGGCCGCCCTCGCTCCCTAGGAGGGGACACGAACACGCTGGCTATTTGGCATAAAACCCCTAGCTTACTGCAGTTACCCCTCGCCCCCTCAGAGCAGTAAGACTGCGTCTGGAATAATCATTAAGCAAAACGAGTCTCCTCATCCAACACAAATCTGTGGCATGGCATTTTTATGAGTGGAGACTCAAAGAGAACGCCTTTGCCCCAAACACATCCTGTGCATGGAGTTCATCTGTGAGCGCTGGAAAAGGGCAGGTTTTACACTCAAGTGAAATCCTGAGCTAAATGAATGCCAGGGTAGCATCCAATGCTGTGACACGATTTGGCCACAAGAGGGTACAAGCTACAAATAGATCTGATTCTCTTGCTCTGAAACTAAACACCGTCTTTTTATGCAGATAACACATGCTGTCTCCGTAAAACGGTCCCTTTTCTTTCTTTTGATGAACTGCAGAACAGAGGTTTGTGTGTGTTGGGGGGATTATTCACTGACTGTTCCTATTTGTGATGCTCTACACAGGACTTCAAACAAACTACTTAAGAAAGCACGCATTAATTTGTCTTCTAAAAATGTATTCCGTCTAAAACCCATTTTGTCTCTCAACATTACGGGTCTGTTCAATTACTTTAATTATCTCCTGCTGTTAACATTCTTACATTAAAAAGCTCCCCGGTATTTCTGAGGACAGAAACACACTTTGGAGATTTTCCACAGCAGCTTGCCAGCCTCTGCCCAACATCTCCCAGTTCAAGGGTCTGTAGCAGCAGCAGGCAAACACACAAACACAAGACTAGGAAAGGTGTCAGTTTCACTTCAAAGATCACAGATGCCAGCTTTAACTCCGCTATTGAATTCTGGGACACGGAGGGATACAGCAGCCTGCAGCGAGAAACGGCATTATTAACCAGAGGCCGGTCTCCTCTCAGGCACACTCCAGCGACGTGCTGTCACCCTCAGGACAGGAAGACTGCAGCCCATGGGTCTTAACTGACTAGAGAGGCAAGTCGTGTGACCGCGTTCAATCTACCAGACCGACCTCGGCTACCCTTGCAGAACTGCAACAATGCTGCACGCCTCATAGTATTTACTGTAAAGGCACATTATCATTAAACCTCTGTTTAGAGGAAGCGCTATTTTTAATCACCTTAATTATAAGTGTTGGATTATTACCTTTACTTCTGAAAGTAGATATTAACCTATTGTTTTGTACATCTGTATGCAATAATTTTTTTGTGTCTTATAATTTATGGTAATCTTTGGAAAACAAAGAATTTGAATATCCCACACATTTTTTTCCATTAAAAATACTTTGATTTTAGATCTGAATGACATAGGATATTTACATTTGAGTGGTAATTAATACTACTGGTACCAGCTCAGAACTGTGGGGGCGATACCTGCACAGGTCTGTAACAGCGACAGATGAGATAATGAGATTCCGAAGAAAGTCATTTAACCTGGGAGACAGGAAACGTCCCATGTTCCTCATGAAAACAGCCAATGTTGTTAAAGTCAACAGCCTGGTTTAAAATCTGTGGATTAACCAGCTACTAATCCCTGAACTGGCTGGATGGGCTCATGTCATTTGTAACCTGTCTTGTGTTCATGAAGTTTACTGTATTCATTAGCACATACATGGCCAAAGAAAACAGAGTGAGACCTCTGACACCTTTTGTGGAAAAACAGCTGAACCATCCACAGCTCTGTTCTTCGACAATAAGTGATCTTTTTAACCACCTACATGGTGCTTAAATATAATAATAATTAACAAAATTATTTTATATAGCGCCTTTAAAGGTGGCTTCTCAAAGCGCTTTACAGAATGACAACAACAATAAAAAATACAAAAGATCTGCACGACGAGAATACACAGTAAGAGGAGACAGTAGATGGAGGTGCTAAATACAGTAGGAGCAGTGGGGTAAAGGCTCTGCTAAAGAAAGTCTGAAGAAAATAATATCTTCAGGTTGCGGTGTTAAAATCAGCAGAGGAATACCTACCCAACTGATCGGTCTGGCAGTGCCTTACGAGCCGGACAGTGTCTGCAATCATGTGCTGTGTGAATAAATGAAAAGGACAGTTAAGACACAGCCCACAGCACACAACACCACAGCACAGGCCAGCAGGTCTAGAGGCAAATCAGTCATTGACTTCATACCTAGACAGCACCCATCACCAACCCACACACAAGCACCACAACTTCCACAGTAAGCCAAGCCAAGATCAAACATGAAGAGGCAAACCGACGTGGGGAATCTTGTCAGGGGATGAAATATTCAGAGAAATGTGGCTCGGATATAGCTTCTAAAATAATTATCTGACCTAGATCACTTCTGATAAAATCAGTCCTGTTACTCCAGGATGACATTTCACATCACCGGAACACACAGCATGATTAAGCACCATGTTAAGAGTTTCTCCTTTCAAAGCTCATAATTGGCGATTTTCCTAGAGCTGCCCCTAGAGCTGGAAGTGGTATGACTGGCACATTCTTCTATATTCCTACAGGTGTTCTCTCAAAACATCCACGCAAAAGTCTGTTCATATCTCTTGCTTGTTTTAACTTACCAGCTTTTCAAAGTTGACGAGGTTATCTAGGAAGGTTTTATTTCCCTCATGGATGAATGTGATATCTAAGAGGCACGAAAGACAAAGGGTAAGTACGTTACTTTCTGCTACGCACAGCCTAACTCTGCTGGAGAAAAGATTCAGTAAGATTGTGCAGCTATTGAAATGAGATTTTCCCAGATTATCTGCAGTTTTATAATGTTTCACAAACCGAACGTAATGATGCAAAATCTGATCTTTTCCCTGATAATTCTGTTTACTTAGAAATGTCAGTTAGAAATGTCACCTTTCTGATGTGCTGATAATGCATCAGGAACAGGCAAGCATGAAAGATTTCTGAAGCTACAAGGCTTAAATGGTCTCAACAGGTTACCTTTCAGAAGAAGAGGCATGAAAGGGATTTTTGGAGGTTTCATCTTCTTGAAAGCATCCCTGTAGGCCTTGTGGTTTAAGGAGGGGTCCTGCAAAGACATGTCATGTCATTAGTCCCTGAGGAAAAGCACACCTTTGCTTCAGCAAATCAATTTTACATGTTTATATATCAACAGTATTAACTTTACAGTGGCCTCAGCTGTCATGATTTAAAACTTCCTGCATGACACGTCAACAGCACAAGAATCTAATTGATTAAAAGGCATTCAGCTGTTGAAAGTGCTCACAATGTCTGGCTCCCTGCCCCACCGCCTTTCTGCGGCGAAATACAACATGAAAATGACTTACTGTTAGCAGTTCGAGTTCTGAAAATAGCTTTCTGAATTTCCCTGGTACTTTCTGAAAGGAAAAGAGATGCAAATAAGTGGCGTGGACTGTGTCTGTGGCAGCCAGTGGGCAGGGAAAGAGACTGCTGCCTCTCAACAGGGGCAGACAGGACCACGGTCACTGACCTCCCAGGTGTGGCTCAGCCGGCTGACTGCTGCGGTGTTGAGCCCCATGATGATGGCAAAGAAGGAGTTAAGGTTTCTCTGAGCCCTGCAGCTGCAAGGGGAAAGAGAAGCAGATTCAGGGACAGCCGAGACAGCAGGCACGTGACCAGAAACTGATTCTCAAGCACACTGCTGTAGCTGGGGCCTGCAGGAAGACCAGTGATCTAACTCTGCTCCTAGTTCATTTTCAGCCTTATACTCCTCCTCTCACCTCTCCCTAACTTGGAATTTTACTGTTTCTCTTGCAAAAGAGAGATCACAGTGTCATTTTAAGTGGTATTTAAACCATGACCCCTAGGTCTAAATACGAGAACATTTTAATGAATAAACACATTTGGTTTACATTAATAAAGAATTAAGCTGCAAGGGATTCCTTTGGTTCCAACATACTGTAACTCGTGCCCAAATGTTTATACTTGTGTATCTGTAACTATGCAAAGACATTCTGTCGGCGGAGCAAGGTAACCACGATGATTTTACAAATGCAGAACTGGCTTGATTCGATCTAGCCAGAAGGAGAGCGAAGCACTGTCTCGGACATCGCACACAGTGAAGCCCTAAAACAGCACGCACACTCGCACACTGAAGGGCCACGCCAAAAGTCTGGGGGGGAAGAAGGGAATTTTTTTGCATTGCACCAACAGATTCATTTAAGTATCTGAAACCTGGGCTGTCGTCACGTAAACAAAAATAAAATGCTTACATTCTTATGTTATTTCTACATTTGTAATACTTTTTTTGTACCTGTGCCATCTCTGTTAAGCAGGTGCGAGACATCTGCTTTGATCTAATCTGGCCCTGTAACACAGCCTGTCTCCGTGTCTGTGTGCAGCCCTGAGGCGCTGGCGTGTGAGTGATAGAGTGGAGGGTCTCATCTGAACTGCATGATTGGAAAGAGCAGCAAGGTGACGGTGTTGAGCACGTGGCGGCTGCTGGTATCCATGCCCTCAGAGCAGCCAGCTCTGCGGCTGAGGAGGGCTCTGTGCGATGCCACAGTGCCAGGGAGCAGGGAGGGATTGAGAGGTTACAGTAACTGGGATGTGATACAGGGTGGCGTCTCGCCTGGAGCTCCATGCAGCTGCAGACTGCAATATCACTCATTCCAGTTACACCTTCTAGAAAGCCAGCAGAGAGAGCTTTGAGCGTTCTGAGAATCCAGGTCAAATCTCTAGAGGGGGCTGGTATGTAAAGAACAGGATGAGAGATAAAAGATTTAAAATACTTCAGCAGTATTGATGGACATTTTGCCAGTAGCCATGTCACCCTGCAGTTCACCACTGGCAGCCCACTGGAGCTCAGCAGGTGTGAGCCTGGTCAGTACCTGGATGGGAGACCTCCTGGGAAAAACTAAGGTTGCTGCTGGAAGAGGTGTTAGTGGGGCCAGCAGGGGGCGCTCACCCTGTGGTCTGTGTGGGTCCTAATGCCCCAGTGTAGTGATGGGGACACTGTACTGTGAACAGGCGCTGTCCTTCGGATGAGACATAAATCCGAGGTCCTGACTTTTTGTGGTCATTAAAAATCCCAGGGTGTTTCTTGAAGAGATTAGGGGTGTTACCCCAGTGTCATGGACAAATTTCCCCCTGGCCTTTACCAATCATGGCCTCCTAATAATCCCCATCTCTGAACCTGCTTCATCACTGCTCTCCTCCCCACTGAGAGCTGGTGTCTGGAGCATCATCCAGGTGGGGCTGCACACTGGTGGTGGAGGGGATCCCCATGACCTGTAAAGCACTTTGAGTGGAGCGTCCAGGAAAGCGCTATAGAAGTGTGAGGAGTTACTATTATCGTTCTGCACTTGACCTGTTGGATGCGGAGCAACACAAGAAAAGAACAAGAGGGCAGAAAAGGAAAGGGAAGCACAGCTTACTGAGCCGCGATTTTGACGAACTTCTTGACCAGCTGCACGCGCTTGCAGAGCTGAGTGCACAGCAGGATCTCGGTCATCACCCACATCTGCACCTCGTCACATCGCTGCAGCAGGAGCTCCAGCCCCACCGCGGCCCTGCTGCCGCCCTGCTGGCCGAAGGTGTAGTGGATCAGCTCTTGCTGAGGACAAGAAACAAGCAGAGACGTTCAGAAACACACAGGATTGTCACAGCGTCCCCATCTCTACTCATTCAAACCCAACAGACGGAGGCCAACGGTAAGAGATCACTGTGTCAATCAGGCAATGGGTTTATTAATGCTATTTAATGAGCCGTACATATTTAATAGCAGTTTTTCAGGAACAAAGTTCTTCTTGGAACAGTAGAAAAGACTCCAGGTGAACTGGGTCAGGAAAAAGGTGACAGTACACCAGTCCTTGAGTCCACTGACATCTCTTGAAAGTACCGTGTCAGCAGTTCACGTTGAACTGGGGACCAGGCCCATCCTGCCTTAGACAGCATTTTTTATTCTGCAGTACGGTGCGTTTAAAGGGAGTGAGCATGCCGGCTAGGGAACAATGTGCAGGGTATTCAGAACCACTCTGAACCTGGACCCACGGTGCTCAAGCTACAGTGTCATGACATTCAACACCCTCACTAGACAACGGCTGGTTTTTCATTCAGGGGAGTGGCCTCTTAAAACAA